GGTGTCAAGCCACGTAAAGTTGTGAGGTTTCAGTTAGAGAAAAACAAGATCATCGAACCGAGGAAGACGGTGAGGTTCGATCTTGAACAAGAACTCGAACCAATCAAGGAGGAGCCTCTGGAAGAGAAAGAGAGTTTGAAGATGGTTAAGGGGAAGGAAGAAGTTGTGAGGGTTAAGATCAAGATGACCAAGCAGGAAGCTCAAAGATTATTGTCCACATGTAAAAACGACAGCGTTTTGGATTTTGAGCATGTAGTGGACCAAATCGCACACGTCCCGGTTCATCAGCTTCAAGTTGCTTTGGTGATGGTTGCTTGTGATGATGAACCACAAGGAAATGGCTGCTAGTTATCCCAACTTGAATAATTTTTTGACACTATTTTCGGGTTTATTTGTCGAAATTTTGTAGTTTTAGGGTAAGGTTTACATATACATATACTTTTCTTTTGGGGTCAGAAATCTATCTAATATCTGTGTAGATATGTGTATACATTTTCTTACAACTTAATAGATGTAACAGTTTATTTTGGGAAATATTTTGTTGTTTGTCTCATAAGTAGATAATGTTGTAAGTAAGAATAAACTCGAAAAGAATTTGAATATTTTCATATGATCTAAATCAATATTATATATGTCATTGTTTCTAAGTATCCGTAATAAAACTGAGTAGTTACCAAGGTTTTCCTTTGTTTTGCTAATAGTTAATTTTAGGTTAATTTTATTTGTACGAAACCTATGATGCACGGGTACGGGTTTTGGTTCACGTCCCGCGTCCCGGAATCGTCCCGGAGACGGGTACGATGTGGGGACGGCAAGGAAACGTCCCGGCGACGTTTCTTAGATGGTGGATACGGCGGCAAATATCGGAAACGGCAAAAATCAAATCCAAAAACGTTTTCGACTAAAATTTATTGTCCCGCTGTTTTTAATGTATATTGACTTATTTTTTCAGAAAAAAAGGAAAATGTATTAAAAAAAAAACTTGAATTAACTAGGGTTTCAAATATATGATCGCCTCTTCATTCTTCAATAACAATAAATCTTCCATTCCATCGACTTCTTCTTGGCCCTCTCTCGATTTGGCAAGGTATAATTCAATAATTGTCTATAGCTAAACTTCCTTATAATTCAATAATTGTCTCTGCGATTTGGCATGTTTGCTTGTTACAACAAGTTGTTGTTGACTTGACTCTTTGNTTATTTATTTACTGATTATATTGATGATAGTTTGTTGATGGCATGTTATTTGTCGTTCTCCATAATGGTTCTATATTCGTGTTTAATTGTTAAGTAGTTTANTGTTATAATGATTGATGTCTCTGTTTTAANTTTTTTTCCTTTTCAGTTTGATTACAAAGTATGAGTTCTCAAGCAAAAAGTGATCAGATTGGTACTAGTTCAGGACCTTCAGAATCTGCTAGTGAAGAAGCTCCATTGTGGCAATATGTAACTAAGTTAGAGAAAAAAGGAACATCAGGAGGAACATGGGAGTTTAAGTGTCATCTTTGTAACGAGACTCGACAAGGTTCGTATTTCAAAGTTAGAGAATGAGTTATTCGATGATTAGCTTATTCTGTTATTGTTTTAGATATTATATTTGGGGTTGAATGTTTTTTATGTTGGGATTTATGGTGTCATTTTTTATATATTCTTATATATGGGTATTTGTATTATATATTATTGATGTACCTTTGCCGTACCCGTATCTAAGAAATTTTAATATTGCCGTTTTCCGTCCCGTTCCCATCTCCGTTTCTTCTCCCCGTACCCGTTTCAGTACAACTTAGTACGAAACTATACAAAATAAAATTGGAGTTTCAAAAGATTGACTACTCAAGTAGTTAAGTTGGAAACATAATTAAAACCTGATAGTATTTACTATTAAGTTGCAAACATTTTTGCAATTTCCCCCTATTTAGTGATCAAAATATGATGATCTTGAAACACGAAACTAACAATATAAGCAATATTATGATTCGTTAAGTAGGTTATCGATTAGAACAGGGCATCACCAAAATTAATCAGAGGTATAAGATGAACTAAGTTGCAAAAGAAAGCTTAGATCGTGGCAATGTAGTCGTAGTTAAATTATAAAGGAAAAATGGATATGAGATTAATTCGGTTGTTGCACGATAGAAATTGTGAATCCAATTTAGAGTCATCGACCAAGTAATGAATGCGCATGTTTTGGGGTTCTCCCAAAAACGGATAAACCAAATGAATTTGTGTCATAGTTACGAGCATATATATCAATATCAAAAAATAATAAAAACAGGTAAAGTAGGCAAAACCAAACTCTCCCCCCAAACAGGTAAAGTAGGCAATATCATAAAGCAATGAAATTAAACATGAAATTTTTCAAAAAGAATTATGATTATAACTTTTTTTTTGTCTATATAACCGGATTCATCGTAGATCAAAGTTCAGACTAATCCCAAATCCATACAAGTCCGGATATTCTTGTCATTTAAGACATTATTATGGGTGACCAAGTGAATATATATGATATTAATCTAAATAAAATTCCATTTTTACATGTTTTGAATTAAATACGTTAATGAACTCAGCTTTTCAGTACCACCCGTAGATACATACTACTTGAAATGAAATCATTTTCTCTGGAACGAATATTAAATCGAACAGAATATGTTAGGTGATTTGTCCATTTTCGTAGTAAGCAAGCGATAAAAGACCAAAAAAACGACTATTAAATCGAACTGGATATTTTAGGTAATTGATACGTTACTATGATATACCTTGATTAGTATTCTCTTAAAAAGTATAGTATAAGATTAAAATTAATTTGATCATCTACTTCTTTTTCCACAAGTCCTACGACAACGAGACACGACAGATTTGGGCCTCATTAATAGGTATATAATTTTGATGATAATTGTCTAAAGACATACTGTATTAATTATTGTGTATATGTAGTTATGCGCTGTTTGTTGTTGGTAGGTTACAACGAAATTACATGAAAGTAAGTACTACTATTGAATTAACAAATAACAAGTAACAAACAACTACCCTCACTAATTTATTGAAAATTAATTTTCATAGCCTTTTTGATGCACAACCACATCAAAAAAATCAACCTACCTATGTTATACATGAACATTGAAATAGAGTTCATTTTAAATAATAAATCTACCTATTTTTTTTTTTACCAAACTGAAAAACCTAAATTGATCTATCAACCCATATTGGTCAAGGGTAGGTTTAATGAAAAGGGATTGCCACTACATAAAGACTAAACTTTTAAAGCAACAAAAATAAAACTTTATACTACTAAACTACTAATTTATTTATGTAAACACATTGAACCTTACACAAGATAGACGAAAATAAAATACATAATTTCGTTTTTTTTTTGTGCATTTTCTTTGGAGGTAAATAAGCCTTTTGCCCATTTCAAACACCGAAGATCTCTCACTCTGAGACAAAAACATTTCTCAGATGAAAAAAATCCATCGGGAAAAAATGAAAAGAAAAATAGGCAAAAGCAAACTCTCCCTCCAAAAAAAATTCACATCTTAAATAAGAAAAATAAAAAGAAATTAAGAAAACCTTAATGATCTAAAAAAAGTGATTAAGAAAGTGATTACACTTCAGGCCATTCAATGATTCTTTCCAACGACGGCCTCCATTTTCGACATCTCCGGCGAGACTCTTCTTCCTCCTCCGCCGCCTTTGCCGCGGCTTCTCCGGCAGATCTCTCCGCCTCTAATTCCTTGAGAAAATCGCCGAAAGAAGCCAAAGTTGTTTCTCCTTTGCCCTCGACGTTTAACTGAAAAAGAATGAGTTTCTCTAACTCATCTCTTCTCAGAACAATCTTCACTTTTCGATCTTTTCTCTTGTAATCTTTCTTCACTACTTCTTCTTCTTGAATCACTCTTTCAACGTTGTTTCCTCCCATCAAACAGTTTCCCATTTTTATAAATTTTAAAGAAGATTTTAAACAAACAGGAAAGTTTCTTTTTTGGGAAATACCCACACACAAAAAAAGTTAGGAGAAGAAAAAAGAAAACTTGGGAAATGCCCAAGAAAAAGAAAAATAATCTTTCTTCTTCTTTTTTTTTCTTATGTGAGTCAGTTTGATGGAAGTTGCATGGATCAAAGTTGTGATATGGAGTG